AGCTTGTTTTTTTGAAGATTGTGTAGGCTTAATAAGGCTATTACCACTTATCTGACTTTTGTTTGAGTAGGTAAAATTTAAGTTTACACGTATAATTTTTCAAAGCACGAATGAACTGCTTATCAGAATACGTTTGTTCTGCTTACACCGCTAGAGAAACAACTCTTTCGCTTGACAAAGATAATTTAGCTGAATTCCATTTGCTGAAATTAAAATTACAGTTTAAATTCTGCAGTCTCCTTACAAGCGGTAGCAATTTTTTTAAAATATTGTTTACTGAAAATGCAGGTCGGAAAAGTCTATTGACTCTGCATTTTTATAATTCTTCATAGTGTAATAGTTTTGTAGCGCTTGCTTCAGCAGTCGCATTACTTTAAATAATGAGCTTTAAGAATGATTTGATAGCAAGTCACATTAAACAAAAGGTTTCTTTTTGTAGATCTTTGTATTTAGTTATAGTATTTGTTCAAAAACTTTTTCAAAATGCAAAAATTTGAAGCCAATGTAGTACTGAAAGTAACAATACGGAATTTTTTTAGACGTGTCCTCACTCATTGCATAAAAAATTGATTGATTTTACACATTTAGTTGATTTGGTCAGACAGCTTTCACGGATTATGGAATCAATATTTTTATACCGATATATTTAGTTGACCGACATAAACGACTATTAACTTCCTCGGCAGCTTGAAAAATAAAGATGAAATTTTGTACAAGACATATTTTTATCCAATCGTTTTTAACTTTTCCTAGTTGTAATGTGTAGTCTATTGCGCATTGCTTTTTGCCGAAGCTGCTCAGATGCCAATTAGTTTTTCTTTCTAGGTAAAAACTTTTTTTTTATTATCTTTTAAAACACGACTTGCGCTGAAACTTTTTAAGGAACTGAGTGCGAGTAGCACTAGACAGTGTTTCACGAAAGAATGTCACTGTTCCGTAGAGAAAAAATTCAAATACCGAAGTTCTTCCAAAGATTTTGAACAAGCGTAAATTCTAGGATGCGAAAGAGATCCATAGTTTTGTTATGAAACGATGAAAGTCGCCAATATTTTTTCAGAAGTCGAGTAAGACAGCCACAGAAAAATGTTACGCCAGCTTTTCGGTTTGATGACACAGATTGCTGAGAGCAGTTGGGATAAAAGAGTTCTGTTCTAAAGCAAATGTTACAGCAGCAGAAGAAATTTTTAAGAAAAAGCTCATTCTTTTCTCTTTTTTTTGGCGTCTCGTTCGAAGCATTCTGTAAACTTTTTCTTAAAAATAACAAGTGCAATATTTTGTTGTGCTGTGTCGTTTTCAAAGCATTTGTTGGTTTATTTAATTTCCGTGTGACTGTAATTTCTTTCAAGTAATTTTTAGAGCAATGGAAAAAAACGCTATTTTATATCTTTTGTTTCACTGTTTCTTGTTTTGAGCTTCTTTTTAATTGTTTGTTTTTCTAACTAAGCGTAAGTCGAAAACCTTTATATACTATCAGCAGCTGTCCGAAACGGAAACGAAGGCAAAAGAAGGTGTTACAAATTATTTTTTTTGACCCAGTTTCTCATCTTTTGTCAGTTATGTTTTATTTTTCAACCTTTTTTCTTCATCTTTGACAACGATAGCTCTGAATTTAATTGTCGACATATAAAGCGCAGCAGAGCCGGTATTTTTAGTACTCATCTTACAGTGTCAATATTCAGTTTTCTAAAATCTTGATTCAGTTAAGCAGAGTAGAAGAAGAAGGATGAAAAAACTATAATCAAGCCTTATTAAATTAATTAAAAAATGCAAAGGTAAAAAGAATTTATAAGGCTACAGATTGAGAAGAATTTGAAAAATGTTTTCAATTACTGTTGAAAATCTCTATAAGCTTTCTTGGAAAATTTTTTTTTTCTATGCATTGGTACTGCTGAACCGATTAATGAGTACTTTGGGCACTCACGCTTGGAACGGTAGGTGACGTATAGTCAGACTTTGCTCTTCAATTTTTAAAGTCATGTTGGTTAAAATAGTATATAAAATTGTTTTTTTTCACTATTGTAAATAAGAAACTATTTTTTTAGTCAGTGTACTTTCCCCAAAACTTTTTTGCTGAAATTAGTGTGATTAAAAGTGCGGGTTGGCAACTGAGCAAAAGAAAAGTTATAACGATAGAATTTCAATAGCAGAAAATAACTAAAAGACCAGCGAATTCACCAAGTCTTATAATAACGTCCTAACTGTGTAAAAATCAACGGTGACAGGATATTTTTCTTGCTACTTCACTGATCCCCTTGAATGAGTAGAGTTTATTTAAGAAGTTCTATGGGTTATAACAAAGCAAGAATAAGAAGATACTATAATTGAATGTTTAAAATAAAATAAAAAAATTAAAATATTGAATATATTCTACTAAAAAAATTGATGAATTAAAGCTGATTTCCAGCTACAACTGGTTACTGCAGTAAACAATAAAATAAGACGTAAAAAACTGAATATGTCGGATAAGAAGCTATCAGTAAGAGCTAGAAGAAGCATCTGTTCAGTTTCAGTGTTGCTGGTATTATTATTGTTATTGGGTGACGTTAATGCTCCTGTTGTTGTTGATGAATGTTGCTGTTGGTGCTGCAGTTGCTGTTGTCGGTTGATGTTGGTGCTGTTGCGTTTCCAAGTGCTGGCTGTGCTGATGGCCTGGCTGCACCCAGCATCATTCCGACGTGCCTCATTGCTCTTCCAGTCCGTTTCCTTTGCCGCAGCAGCGGTTACACTTTCGTTTTTGTCTAACTTTTTCATTTATCCTTCTATCTGTTAATTTTCATTCCTAATCTTAAGTTTTTTCACTGGCTAATTAGTAAAATGACCACGTAAACAATTTTGTACGGACCTCCTTAGTTTTTTGCACCTATTAGCAGCACTGTTGAAGTTAAAAAAATTAATGCAACTAAAAGTGAAAAATTTTGTAAACGTATTGTTCTTAGTGCTGATCCGTTGATCAGAGGTTGTTGTTGAAATAATGGCTCAAATAAACCATAGGAGCTATAATTTCCTTTTTTTTTTTTTTTTTT